GAAACGGAGGGCTTCCCAAGATGAGGCAAGCACTGCAATCCCACCGATACGTCTTGACCAAAGTGATGACGACTCCTCTCCGGAGGAATCGGAGGCCCCTATCAAACTTTTTTTTGCACGGGTGGAGACGCCATGTGTGCAGAGGTTGCACTGCAGTATGCAATTGCATTCCCAAGGGACTCCTATCAATCACAGGCTGCACTGCCGAATCCGGTTACCGAAAGCTTGGAGCAATCGGGAACATTTCGCGGTGGTTTTCCCAGGTGCCTGTTCAATGCTGCAGAGAAAAGATCCGACTTCGCATCGCAAGAAAAAGGCCTGCACGGTTGACTGCGCAACGACGTAAGCATTGCTTTCGATGCTCTCCAAGTGCAATAGCTTGCACAGCGTTCTGATCTCAGGACGCTTTGCTGCAGTGAGGAAAGATGACCACTCCTCCCTGGGCGGGGGGGAGGGCAACGAACACACATACACTACTTGCGTCGGTGGCTCCCGAACAGCTTGGCCAAGGGGAGACACAGAAAGGCAAGTGGAAGCCATCTGGCTTGCGCTCGGTGTGTAGGTGATGAATGACTGTACCATGCAGTGCCCCACTACTACAGTGAAACAAGGTGAAACGTCGTTACCCTACGTCTTAGTGACCAAAGTAAAATCTGTACACTTTGTATTCACCCAGGACCGACACTGAGGTGCCGGCCTGGGAGCTGCCTATCTTTTTTGTACAATGTGCTACGGAGGCAGCAAAAGAGCATGCCGACAGGACCGACACTGAGGTGCCAGCCTGCGGCGGGCTAGCTGGCGTAGTGTTAGTGCTGGTCCCTGCGCAGCTCATCATCAAAGTCAGCGGAATTGAAGGCCTGACTGTCTCTTCTATCTGGCGGAAGGAGGTTGCGCCACTCCGGCATGTGAAACTTGTCACACAAGTCGAAAGTGTCACATTCGGCATAGGGTCCTCTCCATGTGGCTTTCTCTTCCATTTTAATGAGCTGAATGAGTTGTCCACACTCGAAGAATGCTCGGTGAGCAATATATAGCAGAGCCGGTGGGGTATGCACTTCTTGAAGCGAGGAGCAAAGCAAAAAGGCTTCTTTGCCAATGCGTCTTAGCTTCCGTGGGAACCATACCTGTACCAGGTTCGCACAGTGCGAGAAGGTAGAACCCCATATGGCAGTGACATTGGTACCAGTTAAGTCAACTACTCGCAGCCGCTTGCAGTTTTCGCGTGCAATAGGTCCAACGAAGTTGAAATCTGCTGGTAGTTGCTCAATTCCTGACCCACAGAAACTTCCCTCTGGTATGTATCGCGCAACTCCCGAGGCATAAGCCTCTGTTTGCTCGAAGGTGACCTGCGAGAGCGCGAGGCAACTCTCAAAGGCGTATGGAGAGATTTGGGCTTGTGGAGCCAGTAGATTGATCGCGTTCTCAGTGGTTCCTATTTGAGACAAGGAGCAACACTCTGCAAATGCTCTACGCCCAAATCGCTTGCACCCAGGGACTAGAATTTTCATGAGCGCATAGCACCCCTGAAAGGCACCATCTTGGAGACAAACGACAGTGGAGGGCAGCCTGACAATTTGTAGCTGTTGACAGCTTTGCCAGGCTGAGGCCTGAGGCTCCTATGGTTTGGATGCCTGTTTCAACTAGTACATGTCTCAAATCTGGAACATAAGAGAAGGCATTGGGCAAAACAAAGTCAGTGTCTTCTGCCGGAACGCAAATGGCCTTGGCTCTTTGCCGCAACTGTCCTTTGTGCTCTGCTGTGACGAAGCACTGTCGAACAACTAGACTAAAGCGATTGCATTCTTGCAGAGTGTTCCAGATGGGGTCGCCAAGAATTGTTTGGGTACTCAAGCCAACAAGCTCCAGCTCACGTCCGAAAGCGCTAATCATGCTAGTTGTTGACAGGCACTCAAGCACGGCATTCTCGAACTCGCAAAGTCGGCAAAATTCCTGTAGCTCAATTGGCAGTTGAATTTCCTCGCCAGCTAAGGTAACCAGCGTGAGCTGGTAAGTGGCCGACTGCTTTGCTCTGGCCGGTGTGCTGGCTTGCGAGGAGTCTCCTATAGCCATCATGACGCGTCGCAAGCGAATCTGGACTTGCCCGTGCAGCTTGAGCCAGAGCACCTCGCTTTGTTCTCATAGGTAACAGTCTATCCAAAGGCTTTTTTAACTTGTTTGACTTTTTTCCAGGGACAGTGACTGAGGTGACCGCCCTAGATTGTCCTGTGTTGCCTTGCGCAGGTCACGTGTGAAAGCTTGGCGGTACTGTCGTGTAAGTCAGATCCCCTTGTTCCAAGCTCTGGTTGGCTTCTCCATGCGTCACAAAAATAAATCTTGCGCCGTGCTTCGATCTGGTATTCTTTTGCCTTATGTGCGGCATCGGCTTCTTGCCCTGGCGGGTAGCGACTAGTGCTTCCTACGCTAAAGCGAGCCCCCCCCTTACCAGCGTAGTGGAGGAGTCGCCAGGCATTGGGTTGAGATGTGTGTTTCTTTTTGAACTGTACTTGGCTTCCTTGAGTTTCAGGTTGCACTGTTTTTGAGACCCGCCGCCATTTAGAGAAGCCGAGAATCCACCCGAGCGAGAGCCGAGACAAGGCTGGAACCATGAGGATTGTGATGCGAGGCTTTTTGTGTGATGTCTTGTTTTGCCAGTTTGACGAGTTTGTCTTGCTTTGTGGAAAGCAAGAGGAAGCAAGAGAAAGCAAAGAGAAAGGAAGAAAATAAAGATCAGATTGGCAGGCCAAATCAGACCAGTGCAGTGTGGCAAGAGGGTTGTAGATTCTAGAGCATGGATTTGCTGTGGCATGGCAAGTTCACTTGATGCATGACGATTGCAACTTCGTTCATCGCAGGTTCAGCTTTCAGAGAGTTTCTTGTGATTTCACTTGCAGTTGCTTACAGCTTCGTTCATCGCAGGTTCAGCTTTCAGCGAGTTTCTTGTGAGTTCACTTGTGATTGTTTGCAACTTTGTTTATTGCAGGGTTGCTTCTAGAAAATGTCTTGTGATATCATCTTTGCAGTTGAGTGCAGCTTTGTGTACTTGTCAGGTCTTGAGGATAGAGGTTTGCACGGCATAGTAACTGTAGATAACCTTTTTGCATCCTGGGCTGACAGGTAAGTTTGTCCTTGAAAGCTTTTCTTTTGAGGATCCCGATGGTGAGACCAGAAGGCCATGCAGAAGGGATCTGACCCTGAGATCTCATGGCTGGCCTCTGAGGGATCCTTCTTTTGCGTGTTGGTTGAGGGTTGAAGTTGACTCTTTGTTGGATTTGGAGTTTTGCTTGGGATGGACTCGAGTTTACCTCTGGATTGAGAACAGTGAGATCATCTTTGAAAACAAAAGTATGGATCTTAGTTGATGTCTGATCCTTTGCTGCTCAAAGAAAACGAATAGAAGAAGAGAAGAAGACAGAAGAAGAGAGGAGGTAGCACTATGCAACCGAAGAAGGGGTGTGAAACATAGCGTACAGCGCACGTGTACAGTGTATGGCTCACCTAGTGCTTGCTTCTTTAGGGTATTTTCGTTCTCAAAGTGCTTGGGGTTGGAGCTGAGTGGAGATCTTTGTCCTTTTTGTGTTTGACCTTCGACCACCTGAGCAGGAGGATGTTTGAAGTGGCAACTTGTGGCTAAGAATAGGTTAGAGAACCTTTTGGTAGAGCACGAGGTCTTTGGAGAGTGTTTGGGATAGTTCTGTGTAGTTTTGTGTAGCTTTGAGATGACTATGAACAGTATTGTACTCTTTTGAGAAGAGTGGACAAGCTTAAGAGAAACTTTGAGAACGTTTGAGACAGTCTACACCGTCTGTGACTTTGGCTCAAGGATTGGGATCGAAAAGGCGAGCTTGCGCTGCCGTGTTTTCACAGCTTAACGACTATTGGCAAACATGTTTGGAGACCTTCTGTTTATGCATACTCTAGAACTGCTTTGGTGCGTTCTCGTAAGCTGAAATCTATGTTCTCGGAGGTCAAAGTGATCAACGATAGGACATTTCTTGGCAGTGATTTTCGGCTCAAAATTTGGTTGGAAACCAATTTCGCTGGCATGGGGATGGTCATGGGAACGATTCGGGAAGAGACGCCTCAATTCAAGAACCATGGGGCAGTGGCTGGCCTGCAGTGCCGTGAGTATGCTCCATATTGGGTGGCAAAGATATCCTCCGATGCCTACCCGGAGCTCAAAACAGAAAATGAGTTCATGAATACAGCATTCCGAAGTTTGGCCAAGTACATTGGAGTCTTTTCAACTCCCCAAAATGAATCGAGAAAGCAAGGAAGTCAAGAAACCATTGCTATGACAGCCCCAGTGGTGATGACTTCCAGCGAAAAGATTGCAATGACTGCACCAGTGGTCATGGAGGAGTCCAAAACGATGAGTTTCATCTTGCCCTCGAAGTACATCGAAGCATCTGAAGAGCCACCAAAGCCACTGGATGCTCGAGTCAGGCTTGAAAAGATCCCAGGGCGGGTCGCTTTGGTGAGCACTTTCTCGGGGTTTTCAAGCCCTGAAAAGGCAAGGCCTCACATGAAGGAATGTGTTGCCAGGATTCGAGAAGCGTCAGCCGTGGAATTTGTCATCGATGAGATGACCAAAGAACCCAAATGGGAATTTTTCGGGTACAACCCCCCCTTCACTTTGCCATGGTGTCGAACCAATGAGGTGGCTATATATTTGAAGGAAATTCCGCCAGCATTGATCCTGGCCAATTGACAAGACTAATCCTGACTCATTGAAACTTTGTACAGGCCGGAGTAGGAGAAAAACCGTTGATTTTTGCAAGTTGTTTTTTGTCATGAATTGATTGCAATTTCAACTATTATGGTGTTTGTCGCAGATCTTTCATTCATCCAGCTGGCCGCAACACTGCGGATAGTTTAGCCAAGAAGTTGAACGCTTGCTGTAGATTCATTCAATGAGTTGCTCTGTACCCATGTTGTGGAGTGTCCATTTCTCTCCGAACATCACATTTTCACAACTTTCATTGATGCTCTCACGAACAACTTTCTTATCCACTGTTGTTTTCTCATGTCCATACCGGTCTCTCCGACAGCGCGCTCTTCATGGACTCAAAGAACCTCAAGGCAAAACTCCTGTTCTTGTTCTGTTGTTCGGTCTCGTTGTACATTGCGCAGCTACGCTTTGAAGGTACGCCACGTACTTCAAGAAGGAAATTTGCAAAGTGATGGAGTCCCTGCAGAACAAGAGATCTGCACGCCGAATGCACATGTGGCACATGTGGTCAAATGTAAACTAATTCTTTGGCTGACATTGATTGCAACATATGCAAATGTGACATGTTCGCAACAATCAACTATGTTGGGCGGAGGCCGAAGCAACAGGAAGTCAGAACATGATGGAGTTCCTTGACCAGATTATGCATCGGTACAGTCTGGTTGTGGTACAAAAAACGGTGAATTCCACATCATTGGTTATATCATTGTATCACGTAGTGCTTGTCCTTGAGGCAAGCTGTAACCAGAGGCGCTTTCAGACGGAACACATGAGGTTTTTTCGAGGGCGCCATCTTGATGTCCAGGAACTGTATGTCCGGGGCGTCAGTGAGACCAGGAAATTCGCAGACACTGCTCCGTTAACGACTCGTGAAGCTCTCGACCTGACTCGCTGAGACCGGACTGACACCGAGCCTCACTCAGGCATCGACTCCAAGCCTCACTCAGCCCTTGAGCGCTGCGGAACTAGACCCATATAGGAGTCACCCATGCGTACATAAATATGGCTTCTTTTGTCGATTCAGACCACTTTGAACCTCAATTGGAACATCACTTCGTGTCAGGAAGGCCGCCATGGGACTTCACGAGGCCACCTTTGAGCCAGTTTTGCGGGTCGGTGTTGTGACATTGGTACTGTTGAGGCCTTGCGCTTGCGCGGCTTCCACAAATCTCCAAACGACCCGGCAGCTTGGTACGCCTACATGACAAAGATCAGGCTTCTCATTCTCACGCTTGTCACTTTTTTGCTGGCACGATGTGGTGCATGATCTGAGTAGGGGGCGTAAAGCTTGCAGGCTTGAGAAGTGGGCAGCACCTGCTGTGTGGACGTTATTGTTGCTTGATGTTTTTGAGACGCCTCAGTGGTCAGAGCCCAATTTTGGAGAGTCATAAAACAATCTTGGGGTCCGGCAGATGAGTCGTTTCAACACGAGCCGGGACGTTCAAGAGAATGATATCGTCTCCTCCTACAGAAGTCGAAGTGCGAACCACCCAAGGTGCAAAAACCGACCATTTGTCGATCTTGGAGGCGTCGGGGTCAATTTTTTTTTGGAAAGTGTGACATCTCTTGTGTTTGTTTTGCTTTCATTGGGTGAAGCACGACACGGCAAGTCAAAATCATGAAGCTTTCATTGACAAGCAATGACTTGAAACTTGATATATAGATTCAATAAAGTTGCATTTCGATTTCACGTGGCTCGAACTGCCCCCCTCACATCCATTTGTTTGATTCTCGTCCTCTCCAGCTGTCAGCCAGGGAAGAGTCATCTGCATCCCTTTGCTCCTTTCTCAGCCCCTGCGCGGATTTCCTTTCTTTAGAGTTTAGATGTGACTCAAGAATAAGGCTCCTTTGACCCACTAGTGTCACAGAGTCTATCTCTTCTTTGCACCGCTGGGTTTATATCCCAGGTTTGAGCCAGAACGGTTTGAGAGGGGCTAGCCAAGGTGAAGTTGGTAGTGATTTCTTAGCCAATGAGGTTTCCAATTTTTTCAATGCTGTCAGTGCCGAAGAATGCCAACCAGTCAAATAAACTGACCACTTCTTCCCAACATGCTTCCGCTGCTCTTGCTTTGGGTCAGTTGCCAAATTTCTAGACAACATCAACAGACATAGGCAATCTGACCACATGTTCTGGCGGGCCTTTTAGGGATGGCTATAATGAAAGCCACTGCTAGCCAGCAGCATAGGCAAAAGTTACCCAGGCAACTTGAGGAAGAGTGTTTCTTGGGCTTAGCGATGCTAGTAATGCAATGCAAACACATAGCACATCCAGCATTTTTGAAGGATCAACCATGGACATCGCTGAAAAAGCTGAATGGTGCAACCCACTAACCAAACATTTGTCACACGATTGATCGAGGTGACAATTGAGTCACATGTTCTGTTTTGCATCACCTGCACGTTGAAGGTGTTGGCAGTGATTTTGACTCTTTGGACGGGTCTTTCTAGACAGTCTGAAGGCAAATGTGTTGATACCTGATAGAGATGCATTTATTGCATATTTGAAGAGGTGGCGCGCCACTCTTCCAGAAAGAAGATCATTTGCAAATGGAAGAACAAAAAAGGTTTTAGCGGCAGTTGATTTTGAGAACATTGCAAGAGATAGCTGCCACTAAAGGGGGTGCGACTTGAAGTATCTACGTTTGGGTTTTGCAATTTTTTTGGGATACGTCCATGATCAGGATGATCAAGTGCAGAGATAGAGCACCAGGTGCTCAGATCTGCTGGATGTTCAGGCTGACGGATGTTTCCTATATAATCAGTACACGCTGTGTGTTGATTTGCTCACCAATGGAATCTCAGCCAATGCATCATCTCTGTTTGCCAACTGAATCTGAAAAACTTCCTGATACAAGTCTAATAGAGGTTGGTTTGCCTTGCGAAGTCGAGCTACCTGTCTCGAATCGTGAAGTTCAGGTTCGAGAGCAACGACCACAGCCGATACGGATACTAACCTAGGGCTTTCCTTACAAATCCGCATCCCTTAAATCATCACCGTACATAAAAAACTCGGCAGGTTGCATGTTGTTTCAACCTCGGCGAGCAAAATGCAGACTCACTTCTGCGCGTTCTCCAAAAACTTCCACCACAGGTCTCGAGGAACCAAACAAAGCTTTCAGAACACTTGCCAAAACCGCTACCAACATCAACCAAACTGTAAGTAAGGAGACATGCAAAGACTGCAAGTTTCTGACAGTTGCCAAACAAACGTTTTACAGTTCCTTGCTTGGCTAGCCGCTGTGTCTCATTGCCGGCACGAATGCGACTTCGAATTTCATGATCCGGCAGGGGCTCAGCTCGCTGCGCCTCTCTCAGATCTAGTTCTCGTGCTGCTTCTGCCAACCAGGCTGTAGCCCGCAGTCACGGTCTCGCTTCCTCCACCACGGAGTGTTTGGTTGAGCCAATCGCGGAGTTTTTGGGCGACAGTATCTTCTTGCTTGGGGTCGATGCCTTTTACTGGACCGACTTCAACTCCTCTTGGTACTTGGCTGTGTCCCTTTCCGGCAAACACCTTTATTTTCTCAAGAGTCTGGTGGCACGATGTGACATATGGCACCCCCAAGACTCAGACCGATCCATTCCGGTTCACCCTCTTGGAGAGGGATCTTGCAATTGGGACAAGTCGGCTTTTGTCCATCTTCGCCTGGCTCCTCCATCATGAAGCCTGTCTTGTTGGCCTCCTCCTGAAAGCCCAACAGTTCCACCACCAGCTGATCGGGGCTATGTCCAGAATGGCACCCAAGTCGCACAGAACACGTGAATTGATCAACAAGGGCACATCCTCACTCACAGCAAAATGATTCGTTTCGCACGCTTCGTGAACATAGGAAGCACTGCAGCATACCGTGAATACAACTTCGGTCCACCGCCGCAACGAAAAGGCTGTTTGTCTGGCAAAATGACATATGGCATCTCAAGGTCTCCAAGGAGCTTGAGGCGATTCTGCATCCAGCGATGCCCGCATACAGTCTTGGCACAACAAGCGTCAGACAAAGCAAGTCCAGCAGTTTCCGTCATCAAGCCCTTTGTGGAGTCCGTTTGAAAAACACTGTGAACCACATATGCTTCATCGGACGCATCACGGTCCTCTCCAGCAACAAAGACACTCTTCCCCTTCTTCACCTCTTTGCGAACTGTCTTCGGGGTGTAGTAGGGGCAACTAGCATCACCGTGACCATAGACCACCTTGCCGTGAGAACGACAAGCACGATCTTCTTGGGAGTCTTGCTGGATGAAACCACGGTTCTTGGCTTCTTCTGCTCGCCGACGAGCGGCATGGGTGAGAAGAACCTGAGCCTCAAACTCTAGGAAGGGGTCATCCTACCTTAAACATGCCACCGATCTTTAGGACTTCACCACCATCCATCCGTCTCTTGAGCCACTGCTTGAACACGGTGTTCGGCATGTTTACCTGCCTTTCTCACATGCCCATCCCATCACCCACTTCTGTGCTCACTTTTGCCATGTGCATTGGAGTGCAGGCACCTGTGGATGGCGCACAATGCCTCTCTCAGCTTCTCATACTGATAGACACCACCACTGGCTGCAACGACTTGTCGCTTCAGGTCTTCTCCAATCCCAGCCTTAAAAAAGAAGTAAGCCTTGAAAGTCCCTTCAAGAACCGTGCCACACTCTTTGATCCGTTGAATCTGGGATCGAGTTGTTGACCTTTGTACGCTTGAAGGTCTGGAACAACTCCAAGGTGCTAGGATCCAAGGTCTCCCATGCTTCCCACATTGCTCCACTAAGTCTCTCCAGCAATTTGCCAGCTCGAAAAGTGACATCGATGGAAGTAGTGGACTCAAACAATCTGACTCTCCTTTGGTACTGCCTCATGACATTGCCATCATGCGTGGGAATGTGATCCTTGCCTGTGTAGGGTTTTTTTGGCCCCCGAAGTCCTGGACTGACTATCTTCGACACTGACCGCTGCTCCTACGTGGCCCAAGACCCAAAATGCGCCGGTCTCAATCCGTCCTCTGGAAATACACTCCCGGATACCTTTGTCCAGAGTGCACAAACCCACATCTGTGGAGTCCACCACCCTTTGCCACCTAAGCCACCCCAGCCCGCAGCCAGAACTATCAAGAGTACTGGTGCCCCAACTAGTTCTTCTAACATCTTCTATCAGATTCTAGCATGCTCTTCATCGCCTCTGCCTTCTGCCCTGCCTTCTGGAAAAAAGCTAAAATGCCGTCGCTGCACAGTTACTCAAAGGCTGAATCAGCTCCAAGGTACCAATGCGAATTGTGGCCTAAAAACAGCTCTCCTGAACCATGGCACCAAGACGCTGTCTTTTTCTCGCCATGACGACCAAGAGCTCACCTTCAAGTGCACAAGTCAGACACGCTGATGCTGCAACTTTTCACACTTCTCATTCGCTACCTCAGTCAGGTAAGCACTTGTCTCAAAAGGAGGAGTTCAGCAGCCGTTGAGAACAGCTCATTACCGCTCTAAGTTTCCCCCCAAAAATAGGAACCGCATCACTAGTGCTAGTGCGAGCGATTCAAGGAAGCTCCCCCCGCCCTCTTCCTTGAAGAAGCGTGAGCTATCCTGTGTCCAGTATCTAGTAGCTTAAGTCTTAAGTAGCTAGGAGCTTACTTCTGCGGGGGGGGAACAGGCCAAAACGACAAGTTTTGTCTTCTGTTATTTTTCAGTTACTGTAACATGTTTTCCTTCCGGGAAACGCTGTGCAGGATGCAAAGCCGCGGACAGCAAAGAGTACATTCTCAGTGGTGTTCCGCTGATTCCAATCAGTCTTGGGGTGCCTGGTGCATAACTTGTGCTCGATTTTGTGCGTCAGTTAGACAGCATTCTGTTTAGACATCACTGATCCAACTGGTTTAGACACCATGACTTGAACAATTTCAGCCAAAGACAGTGTTATGGAGACTTTTGTCCGCCAGTGGCATCAGAATAAGGAAAACAATCCTGGGCAAGAGGTTTTGGTCTTATGCCCATGCTAGGTGGGCTTGGAATCCTTGATTTTGTTCTTCCTCTTCATACACTTGGTGCCAACATCTCAGCTTCAGAGTCCTTGTGTCATCTAAAAGCCTTGGGGCTGGTTGTTGTCTCACTTTCTCTTGGTTTGTTCAGGCTTATTTGTTTCATGACGTTCGTGAGACCGAGAGGTCCCATGTCCGACTTTACTCAATCCTTCAAGGTGGTCAAGAGCTCGTGATGCCTACACTTCTCTTCCTTCAGCTGAATTAACTTTATATTCAATGCTTTCTTGCCATTCTCCTATTCAGGTCATGCAACCACAGCAGGCCTTGAGACATTCCTTGTTCCCTTCCTTCTTCCATTCTATTTTTTCGCACACTCAATAAGCAAGCAAATTGAAGCAGCTGTTTCTTCGCTTGTTTTGACAATGGAGCTGGAAGGAGTCCTCCTGTTGGAGTTCAGCTTGCTCATCTTGAGTGTGTTAGACTCCACCTTAGCAGCTCAGCAGTCTGCTCTTGCTTAGACTTGAGTTGAATGCAACATGAAGTCCAATTTTATTCTAGTTTTTTCCCGTTGTGACCTAGTTTGTGCTTCCGTACTTGTGAGGACCTCATGATTTTCCTTGCTGGCTCCTCCGTTCGCATCGCTCCTGTATTGAGGCGGGGTTCAGCTGGCTGTCCGACTGGTGTCCTCGGTCTGCATGCTGAGGTTTGGTCTGGCCGCCTGTTCGGTACCACGCCTTCAGGAGCTGCCAACATGCTTTCATTGCTTATATAACGATGGCCCCTAGTAGCGTCCTTGCTCCTAGTAGCGATGCCCTTTGTTCCTAGTAGCTTCTTGCTCCTAGTAGTAAGGCCAGGAGCCCCTAGTAGCTTCTTGCTCCTATGTTTCAGTTTAACATGCTTCAACTTTTGTCTCTATCTCCCTTGCAACAAGTTTCTTTCTGAAGTTCTGCCGATTTGGAGGAGCTGGTTTGCTCCTTTTTCAGAACAACAGTTGCAGTGAGCAAGGCTGGTTCTGTTGTTGCTGTGAACATTTCAAACGTGTGATCGAAAGTTCTTCAGATATTTGTTCAACCTGAGGTTGGAATGTTCTTCCTCTACACAGTGGTGATATTCGCCTGGGTAGCTACAACGGTTCTTGATGACGAGGAGGCTTTCAGCAGGGTTGGTACAAGAGGTTTGGCCACCAGCAGTAGATAGGCTTTCAGTTCTGCGAGTGCTGCCGAAACAAGATGTGCTTCACATTGCTTCACTGCTCGAGGGCAAAGACCAGTTCGGACAACCTGTTCGTGAAGGCTTTGCGACGCGGGCACCTTGGGTGGTCTTGTTGAAAGCTTCAGCGGCTGCCATGTGTTTTGGATGTGATGATATTCCCCGCAATTGGTGAAAGCTATGGTAGAGTGCAAACTAACGGGCATGAGCGTTTGTCCTTGGCCGTTCTAATTTTTTGCCAGAGGAATTCCTTTTTGTAGCAACGCGCTTTGCCAGACCTCAGAGTTGAGACATTTGGATAACGCTTATTGGTTTTACAACGTTGGATCGGAGCCACATGATGTTTACACTCAGGTTTGGCGAGTCTCTGTACACATGCTTTACCACGCTCAACACCGCAACCTTGCCCGACTCAATGGCAGGGAGCCCGGTGTGTAGTTGAACAACTTAGTGAGCTGTATAGGGAGCATAGCTCAGAATCAGCTGAGGTACCTTCGTATGATTATAGTCGGAGCTATTTGCTGCTATGGACAGCTTTTCGAACGTTTGGCGGTGGTTGAATTGCTGGGAGACGTCGAGGTATACATTGAAGCATTTGGAATCCACGCATATGACTTATCCCATTTGTTTGTTATGACTTCTTGATGCTACAGCTGTCTTTGCAGGATGCCATTTATCTTTGTGGGAGCCGTGCTTCTGAAGCAGGCATTGCACAAAAACGGAGCGCACATTGGCATGCAAGCTGGCCCAGTATCGGAGGTGATCCTGGCTGGGGTCTACAACGACTACAGCAAACATGCCAAGAACTTTTTGATTGAAGGCGGGGTATTATGTTCAACAGGTGAATTCTTTAGCTGTGGATGTGGACAATGGACGCAACTAGTTTGACAGCCTCTCAAATGTTTGCAGGCCGTCGCCTGCGGAAGTCTGGTGTGGATGCTGCCTTTGAATTGTTGAAGCTTGGTGAGCTGACATGTTAATGAATGCATGAAGTGTCAAGTATTCTGTTGTGGCCACCACACTGGTCCATGGAAAAGACTCTGGAATTGTTGGGCTTTGGTAGCAACCCTGGTACGGCAACAAAGGAAGACTCCAGCGCCTGCTGGCTGCAACAGAGGAGAAGTTGTAAGGCATGAAATGTGCAGATGGCAAACACGTTGAAAAGAAAAGGCAAAGGTCCTGGAAAGGTCCAAGAAGATAAAAGGCACGAGATGGAGGCTTTTGCGGCAGGTTTAAGGACTTTGAGAGGCTCGTGGATGTATTGAAGCCCTTGCTGGAGATGACAGTCACCAAGGCGACTTTGCCTCATGGCATTGAGTTCGAACATGCACTCAGCATATTTACATTTGGAACCACAAGATTCTCTACTTTGCTATATAGATATTTGCAGAGCTCTTGTGTGAGCAAGTAGCCGACCCTGCTCAATGCATATATTCGTCTTGTCAGGAGTTCCTCCGTGTTCTCTTTCATGCACTTGATGATGACTCCAATGGTGTTCTGGACAAAGCAGAGTTCCAGGACAGATGCTTGCGCTGCTTGCAGTAAGGCTTACTCTTCGGATATCTCCAAGTTGAGCTCTTCGGCTGTCTCTTCTTGCCACTAGTAGCAATGGCCTCCAACCTAATAGCAATGGCCTCCAACCTAATAGCTTCTTGCTACTATATAGTAGCAAACTAGCTAATAGCCATGCACTTGCTCCTAGTAGCGATGCACCTTGTTACTAGTAGCTTGTTGCTACTAGTAGTAATGACCCATTTGCTTCAAGCAAGATTCGTTTCAGGCTTTTCAAGCACCTAGAAGGGTGGCTGTATACTGTGGTAGAGACTTTGGTGCTGCATGTTGGAGTTGGGTGTTGAGCTCGAAGTTCCACATGGGCCCGCCCAGATCCAGAAAATCCCCCAAAGCGAGGAGTCTCCTGGTCGGTTTTGGTCGAACTCTCCGTTGAGCGTGGAGAGAGGGTCTTCATCAGGCTGACCAATTAAGAGGCTTTTCTTTTGTGCTTGTGGCTGCTTGAGCTTGGTAGGTGTAAGGCTGAGGTTTGGATTGCTGCTGTTTGGTGCTTGGGTTCCAACCTACGTGTGGTGTTGTCTCAGGTTCTTGTTTGGAAAAATCTGTTTGCCTGCTGTCCTCTGGCCGCGCTGGCGAACCCTGTGTCCTCCTCTCGTGTGGCTATGAATGCAACAGTGTGTTTTTGCACATGTGACCCGGGAATCAGGAACTATGAATTGGTTTCAAACAATGCCATTCCCAAACAGCTGGAAACTGTAGGAATATACTTGCAGACGTTGCTACCAACATTGGAATTCAAGGAGTTGACACAAAATAATGCTGAGACTGTTTGAGGTCTATGCTGGCATAATCAATTTGTTTTTTGACATTCCTGTTTGTGTGCAGGACATGTGTGATGTGCTTCAGCCACTTGCATAACACATAGGCTGGTTCTGACATATTATGACAGTTTGATGCCAATGCCAAAATGCTTTGGGTTGAGCTAGAATTGCTGTTAGAAGGCGAACCCATGACGAGAGCCCTTCATCTTGGTGATGACCTAGGTTTGAATTTCACATCACCGAGAGGGACTCCTGTCTCAAGCAGTGTATGAAAGGAACAGCATTTGAGAGGCGTGGCATAGAGAGGCTCCACTTCGTTTCAGTGAGCTTTGCCGCTTTTGCAGCCAGTTGACCATGCCTGGTCTTCAGTCCAGGACTATGGATGCTCTCGTGGAGAATGGCGCCTCCGGAACAAACCTAGGTCAGCGGGTTTCACAAGGGGCGCAAGATGATATCCGGGTCGCTTCGTGACGACGACGCCCACACCTTTCGCTCTCAGAGAGAGGGTAAAATATGTCTCTATAATCACTCTATTCTTGGACCCTCTGATGCATTGTTTATTTATGCCTTCTTACTTACAACTTGCAAGCATTGTTGGATCTATTTTTCGACATTTTAAGGGGGTCAAACAATAGAGTGATTATGCACAATAACATGTACAATGTGCATGATCGAGACAAGACTTAGATATGAACGCAGCATGAGGTGGATGAATTGAATAACAGAATGCCACGAAAGGTAGCCTCCCAGGGGGTACCTTGAGTTTGTCTTGCGAAGCAAGTGTGGGCTCCCCCCCCTCCCCTTGAACTGATTTTTCAATACAGACCTCCCCCCCGTGAAATTGATTTTTCAATACAGAACCCCCCCTAACCGCTTCGTCCCGAAGTGGATCACCCCGATGATCACCCCGATGCGGGTCATTTGGTTTGCAGCACATCGGCAACGTTTGCGCGGCGCCTCCACTGCGACAGCTCGAATCTGGACGTGCTGCTGTTGCGCATCGGATGTAGCTCTGAAACCATGTTTTACACCAACCACCGCCGTTTGCACCAAGCCATGTTTTATACCACTGTTGACGCCCCTGCGCGGTTGTCGTGCACCAACCACCGTTACTCCTACACCACGTTTTACACCAACCATCCGCCCCTGCGCGGTTTGCACCAACCTCCGTTTTACGCCAACCACCGTGTTACGCTACCCGTCTTACGCTTACAAGGCGGTTTCTAGTCTTACCCCTATCATCTCCTGCTCCGAGTAGCTGCCGATGCATGTTTTACATGCTTCTATTCTCTTCCCGCTTTCTTATCTTTCGTGTCTCCCTCTTCTCAAGTTAAAGGAAGTAATTATCTTCAATCACTCTATTTTTGGATCCCCTTACGAGTTGTTTGCTTATGTCGTACTTGCAGCTTGCATGCATCGTTGGATATATTTTCGACATTTTTGACACCCTTGAAATTGTACATTTTTCAGGGGCCCGAATGATATTCAAAGGGGTCGAAAAATACGGTGCATATATACCATAAACTATGCAATGCGCATGGTCGACACAAGACTTAGAGATTGGATGTATTTTTCGACACTTTTGACATTGTACATTTTCAGGGTGTCCAAATTCTTCAAATTCTGTTTAGTTTGCATGCATTTGGTACAATAAGACTTTGCAATTTCAACCAGCTGAGGCATACGATGCCGGAATTAACTGTACAACAGCAGTCAGCTGATGCATATGATGCAACCATGAAAGATATATTATAAAAAGACATAGACCGTTGAGAGGAGTCGTTTGTTTGCCTTTCATGGACATGGTGATGCACATGAAACGATAATGACAAATTTCAGCAGACATAGATGACACCCATGTGTTTTTCCATGTTTTCTTCCACTCCCACTCCTCTCCCAGACACACCTCATGATACAGGATATGGATTTTTGTTCTCAAAAGAACACGCAGCCCCCTAGCGATGAAGGCGAACCAACAGTGCCACGCCTCAGCATGTACAGGTACTGTAATTGCAGTGGATGGATGCGTTTGCTTTATTACGCATTACGCACTTCGTTTGACGCAGTCAGTATATGTTGCAGAGCCCTTCAGACACTCTGATTCAGTTCTTCCGTGTTGTTTTTGCACCGAGTGGAGCCTTTTCTGTCAGGGAAGCTGCTTTAGATTTGGCTACATGTTCTCGCGCACAAACGAACCCATAATTTAGATTGTCTCTAGACTCTTGCGCCTGAGTGCTTGAGCTTTGATGTTTTTTGTTGCTTCTTTTTGATACATGAAATCACTCTCAACTCTCTGCAGGTCGATCGTTGATATGCTAGCAAAATCTCCAACGAAAGGACTGGTCCGCTTCAACACCCTGGTGCTCCCACCACGGACAGACGTCCACTCCTATGATTGGTCTTCATGATCACAGCGCTTGTTGTTCAAACACCTGTGACATCCATTGACGGCCGGCTGGACATTACGATTTTGGGCTGATTTGACGTGGTTCACGCACCCTTTCCTGCGTCTGCCATTTCATGGATTCCCATCCCTTGCTGACCAAACTTTGATGTATGTTTCTGTGCATAGGTCAGGAGTGACTGCGTTCACAGGCAGGACCAAGAACATCCCACAGGTGAACAAATGCGCTTGCGTTTTTGCGATATTTGAGTGTGAACATTTGTATCTTCGATAAAGGTGCTCCAATCCGGTGTTTTGGAGCATGCGATGTCAAAAAGGCAGTCCTTGATGTCGTCTCTCCATTGGTTTTCATTTCAAATTCTCATTTCGCTGTGGCGAAATATGCGTTCTGTAAACATATATCACTGGACACAGCACATTGTTCGGTGCTCCCAAGCAGCGCAATCTTGCGGCAGCGAAACGCGAATTTGGACGATTCTCGTGACATGTTGCAGCCTTCAATGCGAGAATGAAGTACTTATCATCGTGTCTGGCCCAACAGTGTTCCACAACAAATCTTTCCCAGTGATTTCCCACCATCCAACAAGATTCTTGCAAGCACTGAATAGATCACAGAGAAACAGCTATCCTTGGATCAGAGAACTGTGTGTATCGGTTGTGCACAGATGTAAGATGTGAGTTTGTGGCCATCGATGTGTAAGTGAACCCAAAAACGATGCGCAAGTGAGATATGCGATGCGTAAGCGAGTCGATGCGCAAGTCAGCAAATTGGCGATGCGCAAGTGAGACCCTTGCCCTCCATCCCCCCAAAACGTTCAAGTGGACAAAGGTGTGTCTCGGCCGGTGCACACGAGAACAATATATATAATATAATGAATGTTGTGACGTCATGAGATCACAAATTCCGAAGGAACCGTTTTGGCTACACACAATGAAAGTCCGATCAAAACGAATTGGGAACAAGAAGATGTGGCAGAAGCCTAAAGGATGCTGGTGTGGTTGAATGTCACAAAATGCATCAAACTGCTGCAATCTGCAGTGAACATGATAACTTTGATGAAGAATGTACCGCAATAACATGGGAACAAAGATTTGTGATTTGCTGAAGAGTGAATGACTACTGTTGGTAGCGTGGTTGTTACTCCGCTAGCAGAACGCGGTTCCGGGCTCGCTCTTGTTCACACATGTTGAGACTCTGCCCTCCAACCAACCGAAGGAGTATTCCAACAGAATGGCACCAACCTTGTCCAGGGGTCAAAACACGCAAGGCAACGAAACGCTCGTGTAACGAGCGTGACGCGCGACCATGCAACGAAAGGGACATATTCTATACCTCATGCCTCGTGCCTGTGCCACATGTCTCCATACAAACGAACGTTACACCCCCCACCTCCTCGCCTTTGAAAGAATCTGCAAGCTTTGATGAAGCAGCTGTCAGCTGTTTACTCATGTTCAAAAGAAATGGGATCTAGCGACCACCGGGGGCCATTTGTGGCGTAGCGGTCTTATTCGATAGATTAAGAAGAACACAAGAACAACTTTCTTTCTGCAGACCTATCCGTGAACCTTGAGTTTGGGCAAGCTGAAAACAGCAAACACAGCTCCAAGAAGTTTAGTTTTGGATCTCTATATAGGTTCTTTTCATGTGAGAAACGCCCTTGCAAAGTACCGGCCATGCAAACCAAGTAAGACATGAAAACTTGCAGGCTACTCCTGCAAGTATCCTGGTTCATGGATGGATTTGGCTTGATCCTGAGAGTCTGGACAAGTTTCACAAGCTTTAATGCCCTTAGCTACTAGTAGCTTCTTCCTACTAGTAATGGCCTCCACCCTAGTAGCGATGGCCTCCAACCTACTAGCTTCTCTCATGCACATCCCTCAGATTCAACCAAACATTCCAAAACAGTATTTCATCGAAGCTGAAGATTACAAGGGGCGTTGATCTCCTCAGGCAATGAACATTGTGATCGGTCTAAATGTGTCCTGGGTTTTCACGGAATCTGTGATGGACTTGAACAATTGGGAGGACTCAAAGAGTGTGAGAACCCATAAGGGAAAGGTTTTGAAATATTATTTTGCAGCCAGGAGCCAAGATTCTTCATGTATGTGGACCTGTTCTTCTCGTTTGTCTATGTTTTGGAGGCACGAGGACACATTGCGTTGTCGGTCGATCCTTTTCCTCGGAACGGAGGCTGCGCTGAAGCTTTCCCACTGGTCTTGGGCAGAGTATTGGTACAACGATGACAACAGGCCAAGCTTCAGTCTTGGTTGTTGGATCCACTTCAAAACCTCTCGTTTCTGCGAGGTTTGACTTTGTTGCTAGCATGGTGCTGGCGACTGCAGCAACCTTAGTTGCGTGAGATTTATATGTGGGAGCATACTTTGAATACATGATGATGACGACGATGACGATGACAATGACGACGACGACGACGACGACGACGACCACCACCACCACCACCACCACGACCACGACCACGACCACGACCACGACCACGGACAACGGACCACGGACCACGGACCACGACCACGACCACGACCACGGACAACGGACCACGGACCACGGACCACGGACCACGGACCACGACCACGACCACGACCACGACCACGACCACGGACCACGACCACGACCACGACCACGACCACGACCACGACCACGACCACG